CTGATCAAAGTCTGATCAAAGTCTGATCAAAGTCAGATCAAAGTCAGATCAAAGTCTGATCAAAGTCTGATCAAAGTCAGATCAAAGTCAGATCAAAGTAAGATCAAAGTCAGATCAAAGTCAGATCAAAGTCAGATCAAAGTCAGATCAAAGTCAGATCAAAGTCAGATCAAAGTCAGATCAAAGTCTGATCAAAGTCAGATCAAAGTCAGATCAAAGTCTGATCAAAGTCTGATCAAAGTCTGATCAAAGTCTCATCAAAGTCAGATCAAAGTCAGATCAAAGTCTGATCAAAGTCTGATCAAAGTCTGATCAAAGTCTGATCAAAGTCTGATCAAAGTCTGATCAAAGTCTGATCAAAGTCTGATCAAAGTCTGATCAAAGTCAGATCAAAGTCAGATCAAAGTCAGATCAAAGTCAGATCAAAGTCAGATCAAAGTCAGATCAAAGTCAGATCAAAGTCAGATCAAAGTCAGATCAAAGTCAGATCAAAGTCAGATCAAAGTCAGATCAAAGTCAGATCAAAGTCAGATCAAAGTCTGATCAAAGTCTGATCAAAGTCTGATCAAAGTCTGATCAAAGTCAGATCAAAGTCAGATCAAAGTCAGATCAAAGTCTGATCAAAGTCTGATCAAAGTCAGATCAAAGTCAGATCAAAGTCTGATCAAAGTCTGATCAAAGTCTGATCAAAGTCTGATCAAAGTCTGATCAAAGTCTGATCAAAGTCTGATCAAAGTCTGATCAAAGTCTGATCAAAGTCTGATCAAAGTCTGATCAAAGTCTGATCAAAGTCTGATCAAAGTCTGATCAAAGTCTGATCAAAGTCTGATCAAAGTCTGATCAAAGTCTGATCAAAGTCTGATCAAAGTCTGATCAAAGTCTGATCAAAGTCTGATCAAAGTCTGATCAAAGTCAGATCAAAGTCTGATCAAAGTCTGATCAAAGTCAGATCAAAGTCAGATCAAAGTCAGATCAAAGTCAGATCAAAGTCAGATCAAAGTCAGATCAAAGTCAGATCAAAGTCAGATCAAAGTCAGATCAAAGTCAGATCAAAGTCAGATCAAAGTCAGATCAAAGTCTGATCAAAGTCAGATCAAAGTCAGATCAAAGTCTGATCAAAGTCTGATCAAAGTCTGATCAAAGTCTGATCAAAGTCAGATCAAAGTCAGATCAAAGTCTGATCAAAGTCTGATCAAAGTCTGATCAAAGTCTGATCAAAGTCTGATCAAAGTCTGATCAAAGTCTGATCAAAGTCTGATCAAAGTCTGATCAAAGTCTGATCAAAGTCAGATCAAAGTCAGATCAAAGTCAGATCAAAGTCAGATCAAAGTCAGATCAAAGTCAGATCAAAGTCAGATCAAAGTCAGATCAAAGTCAGATCAAAGTCAGATCAAAGTCAGATCAAAGTCAGATCAAAGTCAGATCAAAGTCAGATCAAAGTCAGATCAAAGTCTGATCAAAGTCTGATCAAAGTCTGATCAAAGTCTGATCAAAGTCAGATCAAAGTCAGATCAAAGTCAGATCAAAGTCTGATCAAAGTCTGATCAAAGTCAGATCAAAGTCAGATCAAAGTCTGATCAAAGTCTGATCAAAGTCTGATCAAAGTCTGATCAAAGTCTGATCAAAGTCTGATCAAAGTCTGATCAAAGTCTGATCAAAGTCTGATCAAAGTCTGATCAAAGTCTGATCAAAGTCTGATCAAAGTCTGATCAAAGTCTGATCAAAGTCTGATCAAAGTCTGATCAAAGTCTGATCAAAGTCTGATCAAAGTCTGATCAAAGTCTGATCAAAGTCTGATCAAAGTCTGATCAAAGTCTGATCAAAGTCTGATCAAAGTCTGATCAAAGTCAGATCAAAGTCAGATCAAAGTCAGATCAAAGTCAGATCAAAGTCTGATCAAAGTCAGATCAAAGTCTGATCAAAGTCTGATCAAAGTCTGATCAAAGTCAGATCAAAGTCTGATCAAAGTCAGATCAAAGTCAGATCAAAGTCTGATCAAAGTCAGATCAAAGTCAGATCAAAGTCAGATCAAAGTCAGATCAAAGTCTGATCAAAGTCAGATCAAAGTCTGATCAAAGTCAGATCAAAGTCTGATCAAAGTCAGATCAAAGTCTGATCAAAGTCAGATCAAAGTCAGATCAAAGTCTGATCAAAGTCAGATCAAAGTCTGATCAAAGTCTGATCAAAGTCAGATCAAAGTCTGATCAAAGTCTGATCAAAGTCAGATCAAAGTCAGATCAAAGTCAGATCAAAGTCTGATCAAAGTCAGATCAAAGTCAGATCAAAGTCAGATCAAAGTCAGATCAAAGTCTGATCAAAGTCAGATCAAAGTCAGATCAAAGTCAGATCAAAGTCAGATCAAAGTCTGATCAAAGTCAGATCAAAGTCAGATCAAAGTCAGATCAAAGTCAGATCAAAGTCAGATCAAAGTCAGATCAAAGTCAGATCAAAGTCTGATCAAAGTCAGATCAAAGTCTGATCAAAGTCTGATCAAAGTCTGATCAAAGTCAGATCAAAGTCAGATCAAAGTCAGATCAAAGTCAGATCAAAGTCAGATCAAAGTCAGATCAAAGTCAGATCAAAGTCAGATCAAAGTCAGATCAAAGTCAGATCAAAGTCTGATCAAAGTCTGATCAAAGTCTGATCAAAGTCTGATCAAAGTCAGATCAAGGTCCTAAAACAAGGTGGTGACTATTTATTTGACTATATATGTGGGGGACACAGCATACCATGACCGGTCCCAAAATCCACGCACACACGCACCACGTGGTACCCCTCGTTTGCGGCATGCGTGATGGGCGCGCTGAGTCGGATTCGGCCGTCCGCGGAGTGAAGGAGCACCTCCCACGTGCTGGTCGGCGGTGAGCACCCCTTGTCCAGCCGACGGCCCTCTGAATCCTACAGTTATAGAGAGACAGAATGGGAGCGATGTTTTTTTCTGGATCAGAAGGAGTGGAATTTTGCTAATACAAAAAAAAGTGCGGAGCGAGTGGGCTTCGAAGCTGGTTTCGCGTCTTGACGTGAGAATGTTCACGTCGGGTTTGCCTGACGTGACAATAGCTGGATGAATCTGGTTCCAGTAGGTCAGACAATAACGAAATGCTATGATGCATCATCACTAGTAATTACGTATAAGGAAGTGTCATGATAATAGAGACGCTGGCTGAGTACCAGCCCAGGAAATGACTGATGCTGAAAAAATAACGGATTCCATGAAATGACGTTCAACCTTCATGTAAGGAACCTCCATGATGATCAATACGCTGACGAATATTTGTGATCTGAATCGAATTAGCAGTAACAAGCAAAGAAGTAGTGTACTTCTGCAGCGATGTTGAAACAGAGTTGCTGGTTGAGCTTCACGGATGGCTTGACGCCAGGACCGAACACCTTAACGTGATCCAGTCGGCCATGACTCGATCCTTTTTCGTAGCCAGTGAAGCACTCCGATACCGGCTTCGATCTGCTACCTACATTTCCGGTGGCTAAACTAACAGGCGAGAAGGTGAGCACTAAGAACACTACTGTTACTGCGAAGAGAGACGGATTTGTTTTTTGTTTATATCGTGAGAGTGACTGATGTGAATGATATCGGTATGACGCCATGATAGCAGAAGGTTTCGATCGGTTCCTGACCAGAGAAGCTTTCCAGTTTAGGGTCCAAGTGCCTCGTTGTGGCATCGGCAGCTCGTCAAGCTTCTATTGGTCAAGGGTTTACGAAGCAAATACAGTTAGCTCACCTAAGTCACGACAAGCAGTCGGGCACTTTATTCAATAAAGTTGATGAAAGAACGCGGTCCTACGGTGTATGAAAAGGCGAGGTGGTCTGGTGCTGTCATAATCGAAGATATGCAAGCTCCTAACACATCAATGGGTCGAGAAGGAGATGATCGGAGAACCAGATGAAGGCTCATGGACAATAAAGCATCACCGTCATGTTCCCTGGACATCATCGGATCTGGCGAGTAGACGACAACTTCAAGGGAGAATTAGCGTGCTGTGGTATGGTTTAGTACGGTATGAAAGCATGGGAAGGAGTGCATCTTGAATGGAGTGCCAGATGAGACAAACGCGGCGCGAGCTGGTTATGAGCATCAAAACACAGCGATGACGGCGACGGACGGAAGTCGTCGTTCTTGCTGGATGCAGAATTCAGTGCAACATGGACGCGCAGCGGAGTCAGGCAGACAGGCTCGCAGAAACGGAAACAGTACGCGGTCCGACTGTTGCAAATCGCGCGCGAAAAGGTACAAGAGTCTCTGACAGCCGTCTAGTCGCGTCAGAGGAGTTAACTACACCACATGTCAAAATCTGAGAGCCTCTATACACAAACTTCAACAGAAATAGGTACAAATCAACAATCCAAACATATCAACTTCCAAGGCCGACATGATTGGACAGTCAAGTAAACTAGAAATACTTCGCTAACAGCCAAGTGCATGCAGCATGCACACAAAAACACAGGTTCAAACACCTTTGCACACAGCTGACCTACAAAACCGAGCAGCACACAAACTGTACAACTCCACTACCACTACTGTCCCTAAAACACCTGGGGTTGCTAGTGTAGTTGCTGTTTAAAAACACAGGTCTACTGCTTTGCTTCTGCGCTGCCCTGCTGCTATCGCTGAGTGGCGCTACAGTTGCTCCCGCATGCATCATTCAGTAGCTCTACACCATGCCACCCACATTATAACTCGCCAGCCAATCACCACCAGTGGTATCGTATCGTGGGAGAGTGGCCATAAAAAACGCCACATGGCACGAACGCCATGTGGCATGGCATGGGAAAACTAGTCTGAAAGCACGCCACGTGTCACGCAGGCGTGTGTGACGTGACGAGCAGAGCAAGGGATTTTGCCAGTGTTGGCACGATGCACACACCACCTTAAAAAAGAGATGGACTTTTCAGTCGACCAAAAAGTGTGCACCATGGAGCAAGAAGCTTGTGACTGCCCGCTCGTTCCAAAAAGAACAGGTCCATATCTCACGCGACCAGCTCATGCCTTTGGCGGGGAAGTGGCAAGGGAGAGCAGGAGCTGCTGCAGGTCTTTGGGGCGGATGGGTTTGGTGAGGAAGTGGTCCATGCCCGCAGCAAAGCACGCCTCTCTCTCAAAGTCAAACGCACTCGCTGTCAGCGCCGCTATCACCACCGGCGCCTGCTCTCCCTCCTGCTGCTCCTGCTCCCCCAACCCTCCATCTTTGCCGTTCTCCACCACACTAAACCTACCACTGCCCCTTCCGCTATCCCGCCTGCTCACTCCACCAGCATTCCCTGCTCTCTTAGAACTGCCACTCCTGCTCATACCACCAGCACCACCACTGCTCCTGTTGCTTCTGCCACTCCTACTCAACCCATCACCCACCGCCACTGCAGCACCAGCAGCAGCAGCTGCTGCACCAGTAGCACCCGCATCCCCATCTTCCCTCCTCCGTCTCTCATTGCTCTCACCATCACTACAATCACTACGGCTATCCCCCTCACTCCGACAACTCCTCTCTGCCTCGGCCTTCCTAATCCTCCTAGTAGCCTCCAACCCATCCATTTCCGGCATATGGCAATCCATCAGAACCAAATCGTATCTACTCTTAAGACAAGCTTCCAAAGCTTGCAACCCGTTGTCCACGACGTCGAATCTGAGCCCTAGATTCTTGAGCATGCGGGTTACCACTAACTGGTTGACTTTGTTGTCTTCTGCTACAAGCACTCTCCACTGCCGCGCTACAGCCGGCAGCACTGGCGTTGCTTCTTCAAACGAGCGATGCCGCCCACCAGCTATGCTTCGGCCGCTAGTGGTTCCGAGGCTGGTTGCCGAACCTGCAGCTCCGGCAGCAGCTTTGGCAATTCCGTACGCACCAGAAGCGTTGGCCTGGGCGATTGTGGTGGGGGAAAATGGTCCGGCGCTTGCCGTACCTCGGCTGGACGTCTGGTCCGAACCTGACGAGACTTGGGCTCCTCCCTTAATTGCACCTTTTAACTTGTTCTTGCTTCTGCTCTTTTCCGAACCTGTGGCTGGTATGGTGAGGGCCAGACGGCGCGAACCTGCACCCATTGCTGAGTCGGCGGTTCGGCTGCGGACCGGGAGGCCTAAGGAGCCTCGGACAGTCAAGGCTCGGTAATCCAGGGAGGTTCGGGTGGTCCGCGAGCGAGAGAAGTTCTCCGGTTCATCATCTTCCGAACCTGAATCCCCATTCTCCTCCTCCTCCCCCTCCTCTTCCTCCTCCTCATGCCCCTCCTCATCTGTCTCCTCCACTCCCTCCTCCTCATCCTCACTCTCACACACACTATCATACACTCCCTCATCCTCCTCCCCGTCTCCCTCCTCACTCACTGACCCACACTGGCCCACGTCCTCACTCACTCCCGCACAGACGGTGAACTCAAAGGTGGATCCCTGCCCCTCCACACTGGAGACAGAGATCTCCCCCCCCATGAGGTTCACCAGCGCCTTGCAGATCGCCAAGCCCAGCCCCGTGCCGCCAAACCGCCTGCACGTGGTGTTGTCGGCCTGGGGAATGGGGAATGGAAGGAAGGAAGCGGAGCAGCAGTGCTATGACTCATCTCGCCCCCCATGAGGTTCACCAGAGCCTTGCAAATCGCCAGGCCCAGCCCCGTGCCGCCGAACCGCCGACAGGTCGTGTTGTCCGCCTGGGAAACAGGGTACGGGGGAGAGGGAGAGCACACACGGTGAACTCAAAGGTGGAGCCCTGCCCCTTAGTACTGGTCACAGAGATCTCCCCCCCCATGAGGTTCACCAGCGCCTTGCATATCGCCAGCCCAGCCCTGTGCCGCCGAACCGACAACACGTGGTGTTGTCCGCCTGATGGGGAAGGGAAGAGGGGAATGTACGAGGGGAATGGGGAAGGGAATGTAAGAGGGGAATGTAAGAGGGGAATGGGGAAGGGAAGTAGTGTCATGCCTCACCCATGAGGTTCACCAGCGCCTTGCATATCGCCAGCCCCCGCCCTGTGCCGCCGAACCGCCGACACGTGGTGTTGTCCGCCTGGTAAACAGGGGGAGGGACGACGAGTGGAGTGGAAAGGGGCAGGTGGTGGGGAGAGGAGTGTTGTTACGTCTCATTCTTGCACTCACCATTCATCTGGCGAGGGGGAAGGGGAAAAAAACTGTTGCCTGTATCCATCTCTCACTGCCTCTCCCCCAGCTGACTTTTGAGACGTCTCAAAAGACGTCTCAAGAATCGGTGCCTGTATCCATCTCTCCCTGCCTCTCCCCCAGCTGACTTTTGAGACGTCTCAAAAGACGTCTCAAGAATCGGTGCCTGTATCCATCTCTCCCTGCCTCTCCCCCAGCTGACTTTTGAGACGTCTCAAAAGACGTCTCAAGAATCGGTGCCTGTATCCATCTCTCCCTGCCTCTCCCCCAGCTGACTTTTGAGACGTCTCAAAAGACGTCTCAAGAATCGGTGCCTGTATCCATCTCTCCCTGCCTCTCCCTGTCTCTCCCTGCCTCTCCCCCAGCTGCATCTACCGTGCATGCAAGCACGCTCGTTCCCTTCCCCCTCCCCCCCGAGTGCATGCCCCCTCACCTTACTCCTCCTTACATGTGTGAATGCCTGAAACAAGCTCCCTTGGACATCCTTGGAAATCCCAATACCAGTATCCGAAACTGAATACTTAGAACCTTACCCACACGCTCGCCCCGCTTCTCCTCCAGCTGCACCTATAGCACACGCGAGCACTCTCCTCCCTCCCTCTCCCCCCCTCCCGTAGTGACTTTTGAGTCGACTCAAAAGTCTTCTCCTCCAGCAGCACCTATAGCACACGCGAGCACTCTCCTCCCTCCCTCTTAACCCCGCCCGTACCATACCTGTGTGAATGCCTGGAACAAGCTCCCCTGAACGTCCTTGGAGATTCCGATTCCCGTGTCTGACACTGAATACTTGAGCAGGACTTTATCCACAGGCTCCCCCCGCCTCTCCTCCAGCTGCAGCAGCGGCGCTAGGGACGAGAACGACTCGCGCCGCCGCCCGCCGCCACTGCCGCCCGAGTCGGCGGGATCGACGGTGGAGATTCGCACGGTGACGCGGCCGCGGGCGGTGAACTTGATGGCGTTGGAAACGAGGTTGAGAAAAACCTGTCTCACCCTCACTGCGTCTGCTAGGATTTTTAGCGGCACGTCGCGACTCACGTGGGACTTGAGCTGTGACGGGGAGGCAGGGAGGGAAGGCGGCCGAAAGGGAAGGGGCGGAGAGAGGGAAGGGGTGGAGAGAGGGAAGGGGTGGAGGGAGGGAAGGGGTGGAGAGAGGGAAGGGGTGGAGAGAGGGAAGGGGTGGAGAGAGGGAAAGGGGGGAGAGAGGGAAAGGGGGGAGAGAGGGAAAGGGGGGAGAGAGGGGAAGGGGGGAGAGAGAGGAAGGGGGGAGAGAGGGAAAGCGGGGAGAGAGGGAAAGGGGGGAGAGAGGGAAAGGGGAGAGAGAGGGAAAGGGGGGAGAGAGGGAAAGGGGGGAGAGAGGGAAAGGGGGGGAGAGAGGGAAAGGGGAGAGAGGGAAAGGGGGGAGAGAGGGAAAGGGGGGAGATGGGGAACAAAACAAACAAAGCAGTTGAGGTGAATGGGGGGGGGTAACAGGGAGGTTGCTAAAACCTCACTGCGCCTGATGGAACCCTCACCGCGCCTGCTAAAATCTATCTCGCATGGTACCTTCTCCTCTCTCGCTTCTCACTCCTCTCACCTGCAGCTTCTTATCCCGGGCACACACCTCATAGAGCGCCAGAGAGTGCGCAAGGTGCTCCCTCACGTCAAACTCTGCAAACTCCAGCGCCATCCGTTCATTCTCAATCTTGCACAGGTCCAATCTGACTCACTGACATGCCTTGAAACACCTGCACCTTCTCCCATCCCTCTCACACTCTCACCGACATGCCTTGAAACACCTGCACCTTCTTCCATCCCTCTCACACTCTCACCTGCAGCTTCTTGTCTCTTGCAGAAACTTCATAGAGCGCCAGCGAGTGCGCAAGGTGCTCCCTCACGTCAAACTCTGCAAACTCCAGCGCCATCCGTTCATTCTCAATCTTGCTCAGATCCAAAATGTCCGACAGGATATGCAGCAACCCCTGGCTCGACGACCGGATCGTGTTCACCAGCATCTGCTGCTCCTCCGACAAGGGCGTATCCAGTAACAGCTCCGCGACCCCGATCACGCCGTTCATCGGGGTCCGAATCTCATGGCTCATATTCGCCAGGAACTGGGTCTTCGCCAGGCTGGCTTTTTCTGCTTCGAGCTTCGCCCGCTGCAAGTCCGCCTCCTTCCGCTTCACCTCGGCTATGTCGTGCCACACCATGAGATAGACGTTTTCCCCGAAAAATTCGACCATGCGGCAGAGGACCTCGACCAGCACTTCTCCTCCCTCTTCGTCCCGGAAGACCCACTCGAATCGCCGCCACCTGTTCCCCGTGCCTCCCACCGAGTCTCCCGCCAGGCCACTGGTTGCGTCTGCTGCTGCCGAGCCTCCCGCCGAGCCTCCTGCCGAGACTCCTGCCGAACCACCCGCCGAGCCGGAGGCAGCAGCAGCGGTGGCGGCAGGGGTGGCAGGAAACGGTGACGACGAACCGGAGAGGCCCGGATAGAAGTTTCCCGAGCCTGAGGATCGGTTGGAGGGCTGGTTGGAGGCAGCGAGGTGGGCGAGAATGGCTTTAAGAGCGGAGGCAGGCTGCTTGGTGGTGGGCTGCTGGAGGGGCGAGAGGCGCCAGGGCGTGCGGCCGAGGAGGGACTCCTTGGTGGGGCACTTGAGGATTCTCACTGCCGCCTGGTTGCAGTCAAACACGCGCCCGTCCTTTGTTAGCAGTAGCTTGGGGTCCTGCCAGGGTTGAGGGGGACGGCAGGGGAAGGGGAAAGCGGAGGGGGAGGAAACGGGTAAGGGGAATGAGAAGGGGAGGGTGAGAGGCCTGGGTGGGGATTTCTCAGGGTGGAGTGGAGGGCCGGTTGGACGGCTGGCTGGAGGCGGCAGGGAGGCCCGGACGGTTGCTTGGTGGTGGGCTGCTGGAGAGGCGAGAGGCGCCACAGCGTGCGACCGAGAAGCGACTCCTTGGTGGGGCACTTGAGGATCCTCACTGCCGCCTGGTTGCAGTCAAACACGCGCCCGTCCTTTGTTAAGAGCTACGTTGCCAAATACGCTCTGGGTAGGGTGGCGAACCACGTATAAACGATTGCGTACGTACGTGGTACGCTAATACGCTTCGAATTCGTGAAAAAACGCGCGGGCAGCCCGGCGAAAAAAAAATCGAAATTGAAAAAAAATTGCGACGGTTATTAGGGCTTCGCGACTGGTTACGCGACCAAGCACATCGCCCAACCCACGTCTGAAATTCAAATTTCAGAATCCAAACCTCCCACCACCCCAACCACACACCACCCCACCAAACCTTGCATATCCAACCACCCCTCTCAAATGTCCAGCACGTCATGTGAGCATTTACTCGTTGACGCCTTCGTATCCTTCATTCGTTTCTCTCCTCCTCAATTTCATTCCCGAGCTCTGATCTCCCGTTTTCCTCAAGCAGTTTACCGTTCCTTAGTCGCGCCCCATGGCGTCGAACTCCACCCCTCCTAGCGCGACGAGCAATGTAGCTTCTGTTCAAGCGTCTAGTAGTGCGATCAACACGCAGCCTGTTGAGGCTGGCCTTTCGAACCCCATTCTGAAACATTTTCTTATTCCCCCCCACACCAAAGGCAATCCCAAGCTTTGTAAGTTTTGTGGCTTCAAGTTTGAGGGCGGAACCACTCGCTGAGCAGTTCACCTCGCCAAATGGAAAGGGCAAGATGGACGCCCTGTCAGGCTTTGCAAGGACGTGTCCCCGAAAGTCCGTGAAGAAGTGCGTGCCATGTACGAAAACAAGGAGGAAAACAAGAGCATGAAACGAGGGGCGGCTGCTACAGCACTCGACTCCGTGCTGGGCGCGGTCACTGCTTGTGCGGAGAAGAAGGGGAAGATAACAGAATTCTTCGGCGACGAGGCAACGTGCGCCAAGGAGGACGCGGATAACGCGCTTTGCCTAATGATCTCGGCGCTGAAGCTTCCAGAGCGCATCGTGGATGATCCGGTCTTCCGCTACGCGGTCCAGTGCTTTGCGCGCGCGGGATCGGGGTATGTTCCCCCGAAGAGGGACTATGTATTTCTGGATATTTATGAAATAAAATATTGACATGTGTTGTTGTCGGCCTGAACCCCCCCCCTGAACAGGTTTTTTTATACCTGCCCGGGAAAAAAAGTTTTAGCTGCCCGCCAGCGTATTTTTGCGTATCAGCAGTACGCCAGCCTTGGCGTACCGCGTATATACCAAGCGTATAATACGCTAACGTATTATACTCGGTACTCGTATTTAGCAACGTAGGTTAAGAGTAGTTTCGGGTCCTGCAGGTAGGGAGGGGATAGGGGGAAGGGAAAAGTACGGGGCAGCGGAAGGTGAGAAGCCTAGGTGGGAGTTTTCCGGGGCTGTGAGGCGCTCAGAGGGCTGGTTGGAGGAGGCAAGGCAAGAGGCGCCACGGCGTGCGACCGAGAAGGGACTCCTTGGTGGGGCACTTGAGGATTCTCACTGCCGCCTGGTTGCAGTCAAACATGCGCCCGTCCTTGGTCAGGAGTAGCTTGGGGTCCTGCCGGGATTAAGCGAGGGGAGGGGGAAGGTGAATGGTAAGGGGAAGGGGAGAAGCCTGGGTGGGGGTGTTCTGAAGCGGAGGGGCGGTTAAAGGGGTGATAGGAGGCGGCCGGAGGCGCTAGCGCGTGCTGCGGCCGGGAAGGGATTCCTTGGTGGGGCACTTGAGGATCCGCACTGCTGCTTGGTTGCAGTCAAAAATGCGCCCCGCCTTCGTTAGGAGTAGCTTGGGGTCCTGCCGGGGACTGAGGAAAGGGGATGGGAAAGAAAAGGGGGTTGGGGGAGGGGGAGATGAGGGGGCGCGGTCAGACACGCGGCCGTCCTTTGTAACGAGTAGCTTGGGGTCCTGCCGGGAGTTAGAAGAGCAATCATCTTTTGAGACGTCTCAAAAGTTAGGAGAGCAATCATCGAGGACATATGATATGAGCACTCACCTAGGCACACAACCAGCAGCCTCACCAAGGAGAGCAGCTACTGAGAGACGATCATTCACAGAGGGGAGCAGACTACACACCGGAGCAGCAGCTACTACCAACACCAGTAAACTCACGGAGGACATTTGAGGCGCCGAAAACAAAAAATCACACCAGAGCACCAGGTACCAACACCAGGAAACTCACGGAGTGACTTTTGAGTCGACTCAAAAGGCGCCTAAAAGAAAAATACGCCAGAGCACCAGGTAGGTACCAACACCAGGAAACTCACGGACGAGAGCTCAAAGAGCATCTTGAACTTGAACTGGTTCTTGCGGCTCTCTAAGGAGGAAAGCACTCACAGTGGAAGAGAGAAGTCAACTAGCAGCAACAGAGCACCAGTTACAGGCACCATGAGACTCACGGAGGAGAGCTCAAAGAGCATTTTGAACTTGAACTGGTTCTTGCGACTCTCTGTGATGTCATTCACCAGCCACATATCGCCAAAGCCCAGCGAGTAGGATGTGGCATCCAGCAGCAGCTTGGATCCGTCCTTGCGCTGCAGAAGGGAGGGGTTGGTAGGTATGGGGTGGGTATGGGGTAAGAGAGGGAAAGAGGCTGGTACTGCAGCTCTCTGTGATGTCGTTCACGATGCCATGTTGGGGACACATGTCCCCAAAGCCCAGCGAGTAGGACGTGGCATCTAACAGCAACTTCGACCCGTCCTTGCGCTGCCGGGATGGGTGTGGGGGATCGAGGGGTGGGTGAATGGGTGGGGTGGGTGGGTGTGGGGAAGAGAGAGAGGGAGACAAGCTCTTTGTCCTACAAGTTCTAATTGATGAAAGGACCATTCGAGAGGAAGACAAGTTCTCTGTGCCTCTCTGCGATGTCACTGACAGAGCCACATGTCCCCTAAACCCAGTGAGTAGGACGTGGCGTCCAGCAGCAACTTGGAGCCGTCCTTGCTCTGCAGGGATGGGTGTGTGCGACCATGTGGGGGAAGAGAGGAGGGACACAAGATGTTCTTTCGGCTATTTGTGATGTCCTAGCCCTGTCAAATCAAACCATGTACAGGTACCAAACCGAACTGGTTCGTTCACGAACCGGTTTTGCAAGGTGCCGGTTCGTGGTTCACTATATTAACTAACTAGCCGAATTGGTTTGGCTGAACCAGCCCAGTTCGGTACCGAACCGAAGCGGTTCGTTTCTCCAGTGAACTTTCAATATGGTCCTACCAGCTGAAAACTAAGAAAGAACCATAGGAAACGCACGAATGTGAGACAATGACAGAGTTAAAGCTCGAAATGAGCTCCAACAATTTGTTTTTTGGATTATCTTGTCGGCTTGTCGCAGCTCGGGAATGTGTCGCAAACGAACCGCACGAACCAGTTCGTTGACGAACCGGAAGCCAAAAAAACCGCTTCGGTTCGGAAAATACGAAGCGAACCGCACCAAACCGAACCGCGGTTTGCTCATGCCTACTGTGATGTTGTTGACGAGCCATGCCCATGCCCCCCCTCCCTCCTTTCCTTCCCTCCCTCCCCCTACCCAAACCCAAGTACGCACCCAAATGGGCAGCACGGTGTTGAATACATTGTTCCGTGCAGCCCCCATCCTCCCTTCCCCCCAACTCAGCCTTGGCACGCACCTGGATGTGCGGAGACAGAGAGAGTGGGACGCACCCGAATTGGCAGCACGGTGTTGAACACTTTGTTCCTTGCAGCCCCCATCCTCCGTCCCTCATATTTCCTCTGCGCTTTCGCCGCATTCTCCCTTCCATACAGCGCCCGGAACCACTTCTCCACGCTGTCAATGTCCCCGCGCGCGCACCCTAGCAGGTGAGCAGCAGGGGAGTTGCTGCCCCTGCCCCCCGTTCCCCCCCTCCCTCCCTCCCTCCCCTCACTTCCTTTCCTCCCTTCCCCAACCCACGTAAATACGCACCCGAATGGGCAGCACAGTATTGAAAACGTTGTTCCGCGCAGCGCCCATCCTTCTCCCCTCGTACTTCCTCTGCGCTTTCGCCGCATTCTCCCGCCCATACAGCGCCCGGAACCACTTCTCCACGCTGTCAATGTCCCCGCGGGCGCACCCCAGCAGGTGAGCAGCAGTAGAGTTGATGAGCACCTCCTGTCGGCCGTCCAGTGCTCTGGTCATTAAGACAGCGCCGCCTGGTAGATTCTCCACCATCATCTTGTACTTCCACATGCTCTGCTCCTGTTGAGGGGTGAGAGGGAAGGAGAGATAGCGATAGAGCAAGAGAGGGGGAGAGAGGGGGCGTGAGAAGGTGGGCGGCGGTGGAGTTGATGAGCACCTCCTGCTCCTGATGGGGGGGTGAGGCAGGAAGAGGGGGAGAGAACGGGTGATAGGAGAAAAGGGACACAAGTAAGAGAGGGAATGGTAGATTCTCCACCATCATCTTGTACTTCCACATGCTCTGCTCCTGATGGGGGTGCGTGAGAGTGAGAGAACAAGTGATCGGAAGGAGGGAACGTGAGTGAGAGGGGGAACTATAAGCATTCTTCTTTGCACACCCCACACACATACCAGTGCCTTTCTGTCGCTGATATCCTCCAGTAGACACAGCACCTGCACCTCCCACCCACACCACAACATTGGTACACCACATACCCGTTATAAGCATACTTGTTTGCACACCCCACGTACATACCAGTGCCTTCCTGTCGCTGATATCCTCCAATAGGCACAGCACCTGCACCTCCCTCACCTTCTCCTCCTCATCTCCCCCCTCCTCGCCATCCCCCTCTCGCTCCTCTTTCCTTTCCTCTTTCCGCTCCTCCTTCCCGTCCTCCTCTTCCTGTGCCTTACGCTCCTCCTCTCGTGTCTCCTCCTCCTCTCGCTCCTCCTTCCCGTCCTCTCTCCTTTCCACCTCCTCCTCCTCCTCGCCTGGTCTCTCAATAACCACACCCCTCCCTTCTCCTCTGTATCCATTCAAACCGCCATCCTCTTTCCCTTCGTTCGCCAGCTCAGCTGCAGCAACCCCAGCTGCAGCCTCCCCAACTCTAGCATTTTCAGCTGCAACTTCCCCACCTACAGCCAATTCTGCTACAGCCCCGTCTGCTACAGCCGCTTCTGCTACATCCTGTGCTGCTACAGCTCCTCCGTCCCCCTCACTTGCCCCTTGACCAATGGAACAGCGAGTGGGCTCGGTGTGAGGAGGAGTAACACTACCACCCTCCGAAGGGTGACCCTCCGCACTTGTACCATCTGTACCATCTGTACTCGTGACCAGCAAGCCTGCTGCGGTGGTGCTGTGAGTCGCATCACCCTCCGAACTCAGTGCGACCTGTGGTGACGGTGAGCCTGCTGCTCTGATACCATGTGATGGACCGACTTCTGCAATCGCGGCGCTGCGAGGCAAATCACCCTCCGAACTCGTCGCGACGACGGGTGGTGAGCCTGCTCTGATGCGGTAAGGCTCACCGCCGTCACTATTCGGGTTCATAGAGCTGTGAGGCGTTGCGTGGTAACAGTGGGGCACACCTCCTCCCTCTGAACTAATGCGTTGCGGCGCTTTACTATCCGCTCTCGATTTGATGCGGTGGCATGTGAGCCGCACCCATCTGATCGCCCCGTCTGCTGCTCTCACCCGCGCCTCCTGCTGTGTGCGCTGCGATAGGCCCGTGCACACTGTGGTGTAGTCAGACTGATGAGGCAGAGAATGGGACAGGGGGGGCGAGGGAGGAAAGGTGAGGATGCAAGGGGCGGGTGGCATGTGAGCCGCACCCATCTGATCGCCCCGTCTGCTGCTCACCCGCACTTCCTGCTGGGAGCGCTGCGCTAGGCCCGTGCACACAGCTGTGTAGTCGGACTGTGGGGGGAGATGAAAGGGAGCAGGGAAAAGGGGAGAGGGAGAGCGAGGCAGGGTGAGGAGGCAGGGGTATGTGGCATGTGAGTCGCACCCATCAGATGGCCCCGTCTGCTGATCTCACCCGCACTTCCTGCTGGGAGCGCTGCGCTAGGCCCGTGCACACAGCTGTGTAGTCAGACTGATGGGGGTAAAGAAGGGGACAGGGTAATGGAGGGGAAGAGAGGAAAAGGGAAAGAAAAGCTGCGCTAGGCCCGTGCACCTCCTGCTGGGAGCGCCTCCTGCTGGGAGCGCCTCCTGCTGGGAGCGCCTCCTGCTGGGAGCGCTGCGATAGGCCCGTGCACACAGCTGTGTAGTCGCACTGATGGGGGGAGAGAAAAGGGAAGACGGGAAGAGCGAGAGAGAGGTAAGTAGAGGGGCAAGAGGCAGAGAGAGGAGAGCTAGGCAGGGAGAGGGAGAGAGAGGCAGGGAGAGGGAGAGAGAGGCAGAGAGGCAATGAAATTACAGAGCAACACCTTTCCAAACCTCACACTTCCCTGTTGACTCAGAAGCCAACTCGGCAGGGCGGGGAGGCAAGGGCGGGGAGCACAAGGCTGCAGCAATAAAGTCACAGAGCACCGCCCTTCCATCTGCACACTTCCCTCGCATCCTGCCTTCCATCCGCACACTCCACTCATCACGAATGAACCGCGCGAAATCACCTCATCAACGAAATCACTCAGCACCCACCCCGCCTCGTTCCCGGAACTCCACCCCCCGACACGCCACCTCCCCCACTCCACTCACCACGAAAGCAGCACGCGAGGATTCATCAACAAAATCGCTCAGCACCCGCCCCTCTCTCACTAGCAAGCCCCCCAACCCCATTCCCCCCTCCCCCCCCCCCCCCCCCTTGACTCCACTCACCATGAAAGCACCGCGTGATGCCTCATCAACAAAATCGCTCAGCACCCGCCCTTCCACCTGCCACGCTGGCACTCCGCCCAGAGCCACCCCATTGGCCGAGAATCTCCCCGCAAGCATCCTATTGGCCGCCAGGTTGCACAGGGTAACCCTGCCCTCTTCCCCCGTTAGAGTCACAGCCCCTATGCCTGCCAGGTCGAGAAGAGGCCTGCCCCTCTCCACAGCCTCCGTTGTAAGCACATCTTGATAAGAGGAAGCACTCTCCCAAGTTAGAGAGCTTGGCGTAGGTGACTGTAACGAAGTTCTTGTAATGAGGTGGGATGATGGGGGGAGATGGGGGGGTGGGGGCTGGAGGGGTAGATGGGAGTGGGTGGGGCGGGGTAAGGCGGAGTGAGGAGAGGGAGAGGAGAGAGGGAAGGGGGAGGAGAGAGGAGAGGGAGAGGAGGATGAGGGGTGGGGACGTTGGGGAGTGAGGAGAGGGAGGGGGGATGTGGCTTGGGAAGGTTGTCTAGGGGACGATGGGGGGAGAGAATGAGAAGAGGATATGCCGTGGGGGGATGATGAAGGGATATGCGAAGTGAGAGGGAGGGATGAGGACAGAGGGGAAGTGAGAGCGAGTGTGGGAGAGAGTGGCTGCTCATGCCGCTGCTGGTGGTGTTGCTGGTGATGCTGGTGCTGTTGCCGCTGTGCCACACCACGAGGGGAAGGAGGGCGACGGGGCGAAACAAGAGGCGGTTGGGACATGCCCTGCTGCTGCTGCTGCTGCTGTTGTTGCTGCAGCGGCTGCAGCTGCAGGTATTGCTGCTGATGCTGCATGTGATGCTGCTTCTGCTGCTGCTGATGGTGTTGCAGGTTGTTTGAGAGGTGTGGATGAGGGTGTGGGTGAGCATACGGATGAGAGTGAGGGCTGTGGGGTTGGGAGTGGTTGTGAGGGTGGGGATGGAGGAAAAGATCGGATGGAGGTTGGAGGGGCATCGGCTGAGATTGACCATAGGCTGTGCCTGATACCTGCACCTCCATTGCTGTCCCTGTTTGTGTGTGTGCCTGCTGCTGCTGCTGCTGCTGCTGCTGCCTTGTCTGCTGTGACTGGTGCTGTTGTTGTGGGAATGGGGTGGTGGTTGCCTGTGGTGATCTCGTGGGGATGAGCTGTCCAGATGTTGGCCGGGAAGAAGGTACGGAGTAGGGAGAGGGCAAGTGCACTGCAGCAGAGGGGCACAAACGCACAAACGCACGGGAGAAAGGGGACAAGAGAAATGAGGTGGCCGGTTGAGGTGATCTTGTGGGGACGAGCTGTCCCGATGATGGGCGAGGTGGAGGTACGGAGTAGGGAGAGGGCAAGTGCACTGCAGAGGGCAAGTGCACTGCAGAGGCCAAGTGCACTGCAGAGGGCAAGTGCACTGCAGAGGGCAAGTGCACTGCAGAGGGCAAGTGCACTGCAGAGGGCAAGTGCACTGCAGAGGGCAAGTGCACTGCAGAGGGCAAATGCACTGCAGAGGGCAAGTGCACTGCAGAGGGCAAATGCACTGCAGAGGGCAAATGCACTGCAGAGGGCAAGTGCACTGCAGAGGGCAAGTGCACTGCAGAGGGCAAATGCACTGCAGAGGGCAAGTGCACTGCAGAGGGCAAATGCACTGCAGAGGGCAAATGCACTGCAGAGGGCAAATGCACTGCAGAGGGCAAATGAACTGCAGAGGGCAAATGCACTGCAGAGGGCAAATGCACTGCAGAGGGCAAATGCACTGCAGAGGGCAAATGCACTGCAGAGGGAAAATGCACTGCAGAGGGCAAATGCACTGCAGAGAGCAAATGCACTGCAGAGAGGCAAATGCACTGCAGAGGGCAAATGCACTGCAGAGGGCAAATGCACTGCAGAGGGCAAGTGCACTGCAGAGGGCAAGTGCACTGCAGAGGGCAAATGCACTGCAGAGGGCAAGTGCACTGCAGAGGGCAAGTGCACTGCAGAGGGCAAATGCACTGCAGAGGGCAAGTGCACTGCAGAGGGCAAATGCACTGCAGAGGGCAAATGCACTGCAGAGGGCAAATGCACTGCAGAGGGCAAATGCACTGCAGAGGGCAAATGCACTACAGAGGGCAAATGCACTGCAGAGGGCAAATGCACTGCAGAGGGCAAATGCACTGCAGAGGGCAAATGCACTGCAGAGGGCAAATGCACTGCAGAGGGCAAATGCACTGCAGAGAGGCAAATGCACTGCAGAGGGCAAATGCACTGCAGAGGGCAAATGCACTGCAGAGGGCAAATGCACTGCAGAGGGCAAATGCACTGCAGAGGGCAAATGCACTGCAGAGAGCAAATGCACTGCAGAGAGGCAAATGCACTGCAGAGAGGCAAATGCACTGCAGAGAGGCAAATGCACTGCAGAGGGCACGTGCACTGCAGAGAGGCACAAAAACACGCAGAAACAAGCGCGCGGAAACACGGGAGGAATGGGACACAGGGCATGTGCTTTGGGGTTTCAGGTAACTCATTAGACGTATTACACAACTCACTCACTCTCTCACTCACTCACTCACTCACTCAGTCACTCACTCACTCACTCACTCACTCACTCACTCACCCACCAACTCCCCCAACACACACACACACACACACACTCAACCACCCACACACACACGCACACACACACCCCACACACACACGCGCACACGTGCGCACGCGCGCACACACACACACACACAGACACACACACACACACACACACACACACACATGCGCGCACACGCGCGCGCGCACACACACACACACCTACCAGTAGCAACGAGGTCCGAGCAGCCTCCGATGTGAAACAGCTGCAGATCCACCACCGCATGCACGTGCACCATCTCACAGCTTCCCCCCCTGCTGCTCATGCTCACCCCCCTGCTGTCTCCCCTGCTGTCACCCCTGCTGCTGATGCTAGGCCCCCTACTGTCTTCCCTGTTACTGCTGCTGGCACCCCTGCTACCCCCCCTGCTGTCTCCCCTACTGTCGCCCCTACCGCCATCCCAGCTGCAATCCCTGCTACCGCTGGCACGTGCAGCACCAGCACCATTGGCAGCACCAGCAGCACCAGCACCACCCGAACCACCAACAGCACCAGCAGCGCCGGCAGCATCCGAAGCAGAGTCACGAAGTGACAAGGAGTGAGGGTCTGAACGAACCAGCCCAGCTGATCCAGTTGTCACAGACCTTCCTCTCAACGCCCCCGCTTCTTCCCCCTCTCCCTCCCCCTCTCCCTCCTCCACTCCCCCCTCCTCTCCCTCCTCCTCTCCCTCCTTGCTCGCTCTCCTCTGCACGTCCACACCACTCGCGCTCCTGCGCCTCCTCTCCCCGTCTGCTATCCATGGCCCCTCTCCTCTCTTCCACCCAGCACTCTTCCTGCCCCTGGAAGCACTGTCAGACTCAGACCCACCAGTAGTTCTACCAGCAAATTTGGGTCCAGAGCCTGATGCAGCACCATCAGCACCACCACCAGCAGCAGCGGCGGCAGCAGCAGCAGCGCGGCGAGGGGATGGAGGGGCCTTTACGGATCCGAAAGTGGATCTTAGCATGTGGCGGAGCCAGGATGCCTTGCCCTTGCCAGTCACACTGCCGCCTGCACTAGCAGCAGCACTGCTAGCAGCATTGCCAGCAGCATTGCCAGCAGCACCCGCACTTGCACCAGAAGCACCACCAGTGGTAGAACCAGCAGGAACAGCAGCGGCATCAGCAGCACCAGCAGCATAGCCAGCACCAGCAGCAATGCCAGCAGCAGCAGCTACAGCAGCAGCAGCACCGCCACCAGCAGAAGCACCACCAGCAGCGGCAGCAGCAGCAAGCTCAGCTTGATGCTCCGCCACAACAGCAGCGGCCACAGCAGCAGGATCAGACTTTTGAATCGCCTCAAAAGTCGCCACAGCAGCAGCGGCCACCGCAGCAGGATCACTCACATCTATGGACCCCGCTCTGCTGCTGCTCCTGCTGCTCTTGATGCCACCACCACCACCACCACCACCACCACCACCACCACCACCACCACCACCACCACCACCACCACCACTACCATCACCACCAGCAGCAGCAAGCTCAGCATGGTGCTCTGCCACAGCAGCAGCGGCCACAGCAGCAGGATCAGTAACGTCCATGGACCTCGCTCTGCTGCTGCTCTTGCTGCGCCACTTACCCATCCGAACCGAGCTCAAACTACCCCCTTCGTCCGCTGCTCCCTGCATGCCTGCTCCTCCGTTCCCCACCCTCCCATGCCCCATTGCCCCAGCAGCAGTAGCACCACCAGCAGCAGCAGTGGCAGCAGTAGCAGAAGCAGTAGAAGCAGGAGCAGCAGGGGCAGTGGCAGCACCGGATTTAGCAGTGGCAGTGCCGCCACTCCAGCTGAGAGACACAGGCACGAGGGAACGAGGCACGTTGAAGCTGAAACTGCTCCTTGCACCCGCCGCCGCCGCCGCCGCCGCCGCTGCTGCTGCTGCTGAATCCTCCTCTTCCTCCTCCTCCTCGCCTCTCGCCCCGTTCCTCGCACCGCCGTCTTTCTCTTTCACCCTGTTGTCCTGCCCGGAAGGTATACCTGACCCGCTTCTACGGATTCTTAAAAGCTGCCCTGAAAGCGAAAGATTTCTTTCTGGGTTTGAGGAAATGTTTCCTTGAATCGTTTGGCTGTGGATGGAGGGGAAGGCGAAGGGAGACGCAGGTGTCTCATGCACAGCCGAACCCTGGCCGGCCGAACCCTGGGCGGCCGAACCCTGGGCGGCTGAACCTTTCCCCCCACTCCCTCCTCCTCCACCCCCACCAACACCACCACCCTCTCTGTTGCTCCACCCACTCCCTCTCGCACGCCCCCCAGTCGCCCTCCCCTCTTCCTCACTCCAGAACCCAGCCATCCCCGCTACAGGCAGCTCCATCTGCGCCATATCAACCGTCTCCACCCCCAGCTGCTCACTCGCTATAAGATTCCCCGACCAAGCGCCCCTGAACCCCGTGAAGCCACTGCCACTGCTGCTGCCTGTGTGACCGCTGCCCATGTGACCGCTGCCTGTCCGGCCACTGTCCAAGTGGCCCCTACCTGTTAAGCTGCTGCCTGTGTGGTCCCCCCCACCTGTAAGAGTGCTGCCACCTGCAAGGCTGTTGCCTAGAAAGCGGCTGCTGGGGGGTTCACTATCAGCACGGGTAAAGCTGGTGCGGCTACTCCCTATGCCGCTGCTGCTGCCTATGCCTCTGCCGCTGCTGCCAGTGCCACTACTGACGGTGGTAACAGTGGTGGGGGTGGTGGTAACCAGACTAGAGCTGGTGTTAATGCTGTGGGGGGGATCAGCAGCAGCAGCAGCAGGAGCAGCAGAAAGGGGGGCAGCCGAAGGGAGAGTAACAGAAGAAGGGAGAGAAGGAGGAGGAGGAGGAGGAGGTTCCCATGACGAGGTGGTGGAAAACGGGGATGAGGGTATTGCATCGAAACGCCCCTCAATTTCCGAGCTGATCGGTCCACTTCTTCCCCCTCTACCACCACCACCACCGCCACTACCGAAACTACCACCTGCTCTTGCCCCTCCACTCCTCACTCCCCCTTCCTCTCCTACTCCTTCACTTGAGTCAAACCCCGTTAAAATCACATCACTGCCTCCCCCAAACCGGCCCATATCCGTTCCAGACGCGGTTCTTTGCTTGGTGAACCGTCTCACTCCCTTCCCATCCTCTCCTTCCGATTCAGACATCGCCGCAAGGGGGTCTAAAGCGTACGGCGAGGTGGACGGGGTGGGGCTGGAAACTCTAAATGGGGAAGTTCCCCCGGAAAGTGTGAACGAGCCTCCGGGGGTGCCAGGATACGAGGCCAGAGCGGACAATTCGCCTGATTTACCCTTCGATATTCCATCCGCCTCTCCTACATGCGCGGAAAGCGCAGAAAGGTGAGGATGCCGCTGCGAAATGCTTCCCCCTTCGGAAGGGACTCTCTCTGCTGCTCCGCCCCTTCCCCCCCCTCCGCCTCCTCCGCAACCCCCGCCGAATGCGCCTTCCCCCGCACCTAGAAGCGCTGCCGCAGCAGCAGCAGCCCCGGCGGACGAGGCGGAAGCGGCGGCGGGTGCAGCGGCGGGGCACGTGAGGGTGAGGGGGAGCGCGGCGGAGTCGATTTGCGCCGTCTCTAGGCGCTGTACGACTGCGCGCCAGTCGCTGAGCGGGAAAGGCGCGGCCAGGCGGAGAAGAGACGTCTGGGGAAGGCGGAAGGGGGGATGAGAAGCGGGAGAGGAAAGGCGGTAAAAAAACAGGAAGGGGAGCAGAAGGGGGGAAGGGAGTGAGCGGTGGGGTGAGGGGGGAAGATGGGGAATTCAACTTCAGCTCTCAATAGTGGGTGGATGGCGCAGGTAGTGGAAAGCCGTTGCTGCGCGGCGAAAAATGGAGCATTCGGGGCGCGGAGGAAAAGGAATGAGGAGAACTACTTCTGGTTTTATTTTGCAAACAAAAAAACAAGCAAAACAAAAAAAGAAACTAACAAAGGCAGAAAAAAAGGGGGGTGGGGGGGCCTTGACGGGTTTCACAAATTTTAGAATTCCGGTCCATATGAATCGAGAACCACGTTGGGGTTCGCACAAATTGAATGGAGTGGGGGAGAGGAGGGGGGGGAGGGGGAGAGCACGTCGAATCACGACGTACCGGGAGGATATGCGCTGAAATATTGGGTGATCGATAACAATCGAGGGATTCGCTATATGTTAAAGCCATGGCGGCGAACGCATAGCCACCGTCACAAATGCCATACATTCGAGGACGCCACAAGAAAAACGAAACGGAAAAAAACAAACAAACAAACTGCAACATAAAAAGCAATAGCCAGGCAAACGGAGGTGAAGACCCACCGATTGCAGCTCGTCGCGCGAGTAACCGAGCGCCTTGACCGCTCCTTTACTCGCGTGGATGATCGCGCCGTCGCCGGGCCGCAGCACGAACTGCACCGAGTGCGAATGGCCCACCACTATCCCCATCGTTGACATCCCGGCGACCTCTGAATCTCGACCCGTGTGCGTTGACAGTACAGTCGGTCTCTCTACATAATTCATAATCGACATTTCGGCGACTGTACTTACTCGATCCTCCGACTCGGAATCAATCAGAACCCTGCTATTATTAGAACCATTCGTGCTAGTACGGTTACTCAAAGTATCGCATAGACTCTGATCTTCATTGACACTAACGGGTGTGACAGTAGCGCGCGGTGACGCGAACGAGGGGATTCGTGGATACGGCCTGCTGCCGGGTCTAACCGGAGCGCCGTTGGACGAAGAGGCTGTTGGGGAGGCCGGCCGCTTGGCCGCGCGCTGCTGTCGCTCCTCCTGATGCTGCTGCAACTGTTGGTTCTGCTGTTTCTGTTGCTTTTCCTGTTGCTGCTGCGAGGCTTTCGTGCGGGAGAATATGCCGGTTGAGGGAGCCATGGCGAACCATTCCGGACCCTAGTCAGTATTAACCTTCTGACAAGAGGGGGTCAAGTGGATGGAAGACTGCCTGAGGTTTAAACTAAGTGTAGATACTTCAAACTCTTATGGGTTGTTAGATCAACATGTGACAATGCTCCGCCCTTGACAGCAGTTGTACAAAAGAACAGCAACTGGGACTGAGGAGGACAGAGGCGGTGTGACGGGATGGGGGACGCATATGGTACACAAGTGGAAAACAAGCAAAACCAGAAGAACACAACAAAGTTGCGCTGACATGCCAAGCCACACACAGCTGAGGGCACTTGGAAAGGTGAGTCAGAACACGGAGATAAACTGGGATGACCTAAATCGCGATGGAGGGGTGGGTCGGTTTGGAAGGATGCACAAGACCTAGCGGTATGGGACATTCTGTTGCTGTTCTACAGTAACAAGACAGTTCATGTGAGTCCAATAGTCAAAATATTTTCGAGGAATGGTCCTCCCTTGGGACTTTGTCGGGCCATGGTTGCCTGACGACGAAGCAAGCGGGGTGTGTTCCAAAGACCAACTCGTCCGTGTGGGATATTCATCAGTCTGGAGTGAATTGTTGGGAGGGAGAGGTACTGTATTGGTATAGCACAGCTAAACTGTTTCCACACGCTGTAGTTGTTTAAAATTAGCGACAGAGTTCCTACGCGGATAGATAATGGTTCGGGAACATGAGTTAAAGACTGCCCCATACTCATGTTACCTCATGTGCCCCAACCGCTTGGATAGTAATTACGGTGTGGTCAAGGTCTGCAAAACTTGTTTTGTTTCATACCTAATTTCATGACATCCTACATATGAAAGCCCTGTGGAAAGGAGGTTTTCATTAATAAAATATTTCACAAGTGTGACGAAGGCCGTGGTCCCTGTCTCATAAAGGCTCAGCTGCAGCACAACAAGATCGCGGATCTCTCGTTGGCGGATATCGGGGATTACGCCATCCCCCAACCGCTGACGAAGATCCCATCTGATCACGGCATCGGGGACATCGCGAAAGGTACCTGGACCCAATCGCATCGTTCGCGAACGAAAGGTTTCTATGGGCGACGTTCAACAAAATGTCCTCTTTCACTAGGTTACCAAAATCGTTGCACTTCTGCTCCTTGAGGGGAGTTGCTACGTGTGAGGGGAAGGGTGCTGTCAAATCCAAAGCACAGAACTTCAGTCTGTTCGCCGTCCTGTAGTAACAATCACTGGCGCGTTGTCGCAATTCTCAATTTCGCAGTGATCGCTAGTTCGCAACAGTGTCACCCCACCCTTGCGGCATAATATTTCCAGGGATGCCACTGCTATTATCCCGCACCGCCATCAATACTGTCACCTGCACCATCATACCATTCTTACAGCCGCCATCGTCCGTCAACATGGTTTCGGCAAAAAGGCCGACGCCAGACACACAGGAGTAAGTCTTGTTCATTCCGCGCAGTGCGACTCGACGAGCATTTCGCTCGTTTCCGCGAATCCGTGATTCTGTCATTCTTTTTCGTCGAACACAGAGTAATTCGCTTTTTTTGGTCGTCAATCCCGGAGTGATTTGCTCACAGTCTTTCCTACTATGAGCGTTGCTAGCGCGAGAGGGACCGCTCTTTCTAACCGCCACCAATTATCACCTGTCTCTCCTCCCACTGCTGTTGCGACGCGTCTGTCGTCCCGAATGACTCTATTTTTTTACCCAGACTGCGGCCAATCAACCCTAATTGACACATTTTCCCGCTAGTTGCCACCAATTTTCCTGAATCCTACCAATCATTTTCCCTAATGCTACCAATCTCCCCTAAATGCCACCATTTTTAAAATGTGGCTGCCATTCCCATCCTTTCTCCCTCCAGAATGGTCTCTATATCACTAATAGACATCAGGAAAGAGTTACAGTGCCCCATATGCCTTGGTGAGAGCAACCAGTCCTTTATGTCTGATTGCCATGTCAATTAGAGATGAGCTTTTCTGCTGAAGTGATGCCATATGCTTCTCGCAAGGTCGACAACCTGTTGACAACCCTAAACCTGACGTCGACAACCTGTTGACAACCCTAAACCTGACGTCGACAACCTGTTGACAACCCTAAACCTGAGGTCGACAACCTGTCCTGTCCGCCTCGGACAAGTCATCCATACGTTTAGTTTCGGGGTTGACGTGGCGTGGCTGTCTCCCTTTGGCCGACAGGGATCATCAGGCGGACGCGCACGGTGATGGAGTGCTTGCATCGTTTCTGTGGGGACTGCATCGACAAGGCCATCAGGCTCGGGTGAGATGCACGTCAGGCTCGGGTGCGAAGGACGTCAGGCCCGGGTGAGTTAACGTCAGGTTCGGGTGAGATGGATGTCAGGTTCGGGTGAGATGGATGTCAGGTTCGGGTGAGATGGATGTCAGGTTCGGGTGAGATGGTAGTAGACAGGTATCATCAGGCGGACGCGCACGGTGATGGAGTGCTTGCATCGTTTCTGTGGGGACTGCATCGACAAGGCCATCAGGCTCGGGTGAGATGCACGTCAGGCTCGGGTGCGAAGGACGTCAGGCCCGGGTGAGTTAACGTCAGGTTCGGGTGAGATGGATGTCAGGTTCGGGTGAGATGGATGTCTGGTTCGGGTGAGATGGTAGTAGACAGGTATCATCAGGCGGACGCGCACGGTGATGGAGTGCTTGCACCGTTTCTGTGGGGACTGCATCGACAAGGCCATCAGGCTCGGGTGAGATGCACGTCAGGCTCGGGTGCGAAGGACGTCAGGCCCGGGTGAGTTAACGTCAGGTTCGGGTGAGATGGATGTCAGGTTCGGGTGAGATGGATGTCAGGTTCGGGTGAGATGGATGTCAGGTTCGGGTGAGATGGTAGTAGACAGGTATCATCAGGCGGACGCGCACGGTGATGGAGTGCTTGCACCGTTTCTGTGGGGACTGTATCGACAAGGCCATCAGGCTCGGGTGAGATGCACGTCAGGCTCTGATGCGAAGGACGTCAGGCCCGGGTGAGCTAACGTCAGGTTTGGGTGAAATGGATGCCAGGTTCGGGTGAGATGGATGTCAGGTTCGGGTGAGATGGATGTCAGGTTCGGGTGAAATGGATGTCAGGTTCGGGTGAGATGGATGTCAGGTTCGGGTGAGATGGATGCCAGGTTCGGGTGAGATGGTAGACAGGTATCATCAGGTGGACGCGCACGGTGATGGAGTGCTTGCACCGTTTCTGTGGGGACTGCATCAACAAAGCCATCCGGCTTGGGTGAGAGGGACGTTTGGTTTGGCTCGGGTGAGGTGGAGGTCAAGTCAGGTTCGGGTGAGATGGACGTCAGGCTTGGTTGACATGGAGGTCAGGCTCGGGTGAGGTAGAGGTTTGGGACAGATGGAGGCCTGGCCTTGCCTAGACAAGGTCAGGTGAGATGGAGGCTCGGTTCAGATGCAGGTTTGGGTGTGATGGAGGTCAGGCTTGGGTGAACTTTAGGCTTAGGTCGGGTTGGGTTAGATTCAGGCTCGGATGAGATGATGTTTGGAGTGAGATGAAGGCGAGGTTAAGACTAAGGTGAAGGGTGGGACGAAGGCGAAGGTGATGTGGAGGAGGGTCGGGGGTGAGGTGGAGGGTCGGGTTAGGTGGAGGATTGGGTGAGGTGGAGAATAGGGTGAAGTGGGGTGGAGGTTTGGTTGAGGTGGAGGTTTGGGTGAAGTGGAGGGTTGGGTGAGGTGGTGGAGGGTTGGGTGAGATGCAGGAAAGGTTGAGATGGTGTCTTTGTCTTCATCCCTCTGATTCGTTATAGCTCATGGAGAGTTGTTTTTTTTTTTTTTTTTTTGTAACTTTCAATGGACGGTTAAGAACCGCCCTTCTCCTCCACCTCCCCCTTCCCTCTCTCCCTTCCTCCCCCCCCTCCCCCCCCCCCCCCCCCCGCCCATGCATGCAGCAACAACGAGTGCCCCTCGTGCCGCCCTCACTGCGCCAGCAGGCGGTCACTGCGCGCCGACCCACGTCTGCTGACTTGACAAATAGTACCACACTACCCCATCGCTCTCCCCGCCACCCCACCTCCATGCAGCAACAACGAGTGCCCCTCGTGCCGCGCGCACTGCGCCAGCAGGCGGTCACTGCGCGCCGACCCGCGATTTGATGCGCTGGTGGCTGCTGTGTTCCCCAACAGAGACAGGATTGAGAAGGAGGTGAGGGGCGAGGATGAGCGGGTAACTTAGGGGTCACTGTGAGCAGTCCCGTGCTTTGACGCGTGGCTGCTGTGTTCCTCAACAGAGACAAGATAGAGAAGGAGGTGAGGGGGAGAGGGAGAGAAGAACGGAAGGTGGGAGGGGGGAAGGGGGGGGGAGGAGGATAGTGGAGGTGAACAAGGTCGAGTTTTGAGTCGACTCAAAACTCGCCTTATCACACACGGGAGGAGGATAGTGGAGGTGATCAAGGTTAGGGTGGTGGGTGGTGTGAGTTGACCCGCGCTTTTGATGCCCTCGTGGCTGCTGTGTTCCCCAACAGAGACAATATTGAGAAGGAGGTGACCAATAAGGGGAGAGAAGAAGGGAATGGAGAGCGGAGGGAGGAATACAGTGCGGTTCATGGCGGTGATAAAAGTAGTGTTTTGAGACGTCTCAAAACACTACTGTGCTTGAAGTCGACTTTGTTCTGAGCCGACTCAAAACACGTCTCGAAACACTGCTTTTATGACGGAGGGAGGAGTACGGTGTGGTTCATGGCGGTGAACAATGTGCTGGTAGTGTTGCGGGCCGACCCGCACTTTGATAAGCATGATTTGGAAGGAAAGGAGGTGAGGGGGAGAGGATTGAAGGGGTAACCGAGGGGTCACTGCTTGCTGTCCTGCGGGTTGACGCCCTTGTGGCTGCTGTGCTCCCCAACAGGGGCAGGATCGAGAAGAAAGGAGGTGAGAGATGGGCTGGGCTCGTGGTGGAAGGGAGAGGAGGGGGGTAGCCAGCTCGGGGTGGGGTGGGAGGGGGAGAGGGGGGGTAACCAGCTCGGGGTGCAGTGGAAGGGGGAGAGAGGGGGGGTAACCAGCAGGCGGTCGCTGCGCGCCGACCCGCGGTTTGACACCCTATTGGCCGCTGTGTTCCCCAACAGGGTCAGGATTGAGAAGAAAGGAGATGAGTGAGTGAGAGGGATGGTGGGGTTGAGAGATGAACAAGGTGTAAGGTAGTGTTGGGGGGCGATCCGCGCTTTGACGCCCTCGTGGCTGCTGTGGGGTGTTTTTTAGAATTCTCAAAAACACCCGACAGGATCGAGAAGGAGGTGAGTGAGAGGGATGGTGGGGTTGAGGGATGAACGAGGTGAAGGTGGTGTTGGGGGGCGATCCGCGCTTTGACGCCCTCGTGGCCGCTGTGTTCCCCAACTGAGATAGGATCGAGAAGGAGGTGAGGGGAGAGGATTGAGGGGGTAGCTGGGGGGTCACTTCTGGGCGATCCACGCTTCGACGCATTTCAAATCGACCCAGAAGCATATTTCTTTCCAGTAACTCTCTCCCTTTTGTGCTCCCTCCTTCTCTTGCCCTCCCCTTCCCTTCCCCTGCTCTCCCTCCCAATTCCGTCCCCTCCCAATTCCGCTCCCTCCCCCCCTGTCATCCAGGAGATGACACGGCATACAGAGGAGGCTGGATGCATTGAAGAGATTTCCTTTTGATTCGATTCAGAAAGACACCTTGTTCCATCAACTCTTTCCCTCTCGTCCTCTTTTCATTGCCCTCTCTCATTTCATCCAGGAGATGACACTGCACACAGAGGAGGCCAGGCGCAATGAAGAGGTAAGCTCATCATTCCCTTTCGTCGTTTCTCTCTATTGACTTCCCTCCCTCGTCCTCTACCTCTCCCTCCTTTGTCCTCCTGTCTTTCCTTTCCCCCGATGTTTCTCTTCCCCCAATCCCCCTTCTACCCAAAGCAAGTTCTCAATCCTTGTCTTTCACCGCCACCACCACTACCACCACTTTTGAGGCGCCTCAAGTCTTCCCCCAACCCCCCTTTTACCCGAAGCAAGTTCTTGATCCTTGTCTTTCACCGCGACCACCACTACCACCACTACCACCACTTTTGAGGCGCCTCAAAAGTCTTCCCCCAACCCCCTTTCTACCCGAAGCAAGTTCTTGATCCTTGTCTTTCACCGCGACCACCACTACCACCACTACCACCACTTTTGAGGCGCCTCAAAAGTCTTCCCCCAACCCCCTTTCTACCCAAAGCAAGTTCTTTATCCTTGTCTTTCACCGCGACCACCACTACCACCACTTTTGAGGCGCCTCAAAAGTCTTCCCCCAACCCCCTTTCTACCCGAAGCAAGTTCTTGATCCTTGTCTTTCACCGCGACCACCACTACCACCACTCCCTGTCCTTTCCTATCGTGAAAAGAGGGTGTTTTTGAGGCGTCTCAAAAACACCCCCCTTCTACCCAAAGCAAGTTCTCAATCCTTTTCTTTCACCGCGACCACCACTCCCTGTCCTTTCCTTTCCAAACTCTTGAGTCGACTCAAAGTCTTTTGAGTCGACTCAACAATCTTCCGTTTACCCGAAGCAAGTTCTCGATCCTTGTCTTTTACCGCGCCCACCACCACCATCACTCCCTGTCCTTTCCTTTCCAAACTCCCCATCCCTGTCGTTTTCGTCCGTCTTTCCCTTCCGCCCATCAGTCCAGAGGTGCAAGAAGGAAGGAAATGTACATTTATCTATTTATGGGCTTTACAGATTCCTCGCACTTTTAATGCGCCTCATAAATATATTTCCCTCCCCCTCTCTCTCCCTCCCTCACTCCATCCATCCATCCCTCCCTCCCTCCCTACCTCCCTCTCTCTCTTACCATCAGTGTCTGAGACGCATAAAGGAGATCTCTCGCCGCCTGCCAGGCACAAGTGTTCTGAACCGACTCACGACCCCCTTCCTCGGTACCTTCTCAACCTCCCACCCTCTACGCCCATCAGTTCCAGAGGCGCATAAAGGAGATTTCTCACCGCCAGGCCCAGGTCTTCTGAGTCGACTCAAAATCCCCTCCCCTGTACCTTCCCTCACTTCCCTCCCCTTCTCTCTCCCCATCAGTTCCAGAGGCGCATAAAGGAGATCTCTCGCCACCAGGCACTACTGAGAATCTCCGTACCTTCCCTCCCTCCCTCCCTCCCTCCCTCCCTCCCTCCCTCCCTCCCTCCCTCCCTCCCTCCCTCCCTCCCTCCCTCCCTCCCTCCCTCCTTCCCTCCCTCTTTCCCTCCCTCCTTCCCTCCCTCCTTCCCTCCCTCCTTCCCTCCCTCCTTCCCTCCCTCCTAACCTCCCTCTTCCCTCCCTCCTTCCCTCCCTCCTTCCCTCCCTCCTTCCCTCCCTCCTTCCCTCCCTCCTTCCCTCCCTCCTTCCCTCCCTCCTTCCCTCCCTCCTTCCCTCCCTCCTTCCTTCCCTCCTTTTCTCCCTCCTTTTCTCCTTTTCTCCCCATCAGTTCCAGAGGCGCATAAAGGAGATCTCTCGGCGCCAGGCACAAGTGTTCAACCGCCGCCGCCCCCTCTCCTCCTCCCCCTCTCTCTCCCTTGCTGCCCCTGATGCTGCCACTGGTGGTGACGCTGGCGCTGCTGCTACCAGTAGTGGTGAGGGGAGGTATAATACCATCACCACAACCAACACCACTGCTGCTGCTGCTGCTGACGCTGGTGCGGCTCGTGTTGGGACTGCTTTCAAGAAAAGGAAACGAGAAGAATCAATGCTGGGAGGCACAAGTGGGAGTCAGGGCGTTGGTGGTCAGAGTGGCGTGGCAGTTGGAGAGAGGAGCGCAGAGAGGGGGAGAGTGAGGGTGGCGGGGAGTTCTAGAGAGGAGGAGGGGGAGGAGGAGGAGGAGGAGGAGGAGGAGGAGGAGGAGGAGGAGGAGGAGGAGGAGGAGGAGGAGGAGGAGGAGGAGGAGGGGGAAGAAATGGGGCGAGGAGTGAAACGCGAGGAACAGTCAGTGGAAGGGGCAGAGGGGGAGGAGGAGGGAGAGGAGGAGGACGAGGAGGGAGAGGAGGAGGGAAGGAAACTAGAACTTGAATCAGAGGGGGAGGAATGTTTTCAGAAAGAGGAGGAAGAGGAGAAGGAGGAGGAGGACGAGGAGGAGAGGGTGGAGAGGGAGAAGGAGGAGGATGAGGAGAAAGAGGAGGGAGAAAATGAGGAGATGGAGGAGGAGGAGGAGGAGGAGGAGGAGGTTATAGTGGTCACTGCAGCAGTGCAGAGGAAACAGAAGCGGTCTGCTAAAGCAGGAGAGCAGAGGGGGCAGAAGAGGGGATTCAGAGATGAGAGAGAGGTGAAGGGAGAGAGAGAGGATTTCAGCATGGGAGCTGGCGAGGGTAATATGGGGAGAAAGAAGGTGAGGCAGGGGGGAGTGAGAGACGCTGGGATGAAGCATGGTCGGGGACAGCATAGGGGGTCAACAGCAGCATCAGCGATAGCAGGAGCAGCAGCAGGAGTAGCAGGAGTAGTAGCAACAGCAGCAGCAGAAGCATCACTAGCTTCAAACGGTCATCGCATGCACCTGCCGACAACAGCTGAGCTGGCATCAGCAGTCCATGTGGCACCTGCACTGCCAGCTGGCACCCAGGGCGAAGCAGCATCTTCGGCCCGAGCAGGAGTAGCAACAGGAGGAGGACAGGCAGGGGAGAACGTAGAGGCGGGAAGCAGCTTGCGGCCACTGCAGGTGCAGCCCAGGGCGATCCGCTGCCCCCGTGCTGCTCTACTTGCACGCGCTCTGGTGGAGGAAAACACGTCTTCCTCCACAATGCCACAGGCTCCTCAACGCTATGGTGATGCTGCTGTGGGGCCTTCACAGGCATTAGTTGGGAGTGTGACCGGCACGTCTGATTTGGCTTGCCGGGATGGTTTGCAAACTCACTGTCTGGCTGGTCAAGGGGGTGTTAACGGGAGCGTTGCTGGTCAAGAGAACGTTCTTGAGGAGATGCTGAGGCTTGTGGGTGGCGGATATGGGGTTTTCGAGTCATGTGGAGGGCTTTTGCGAGGCAGGGGTAGCGGTTTTATTGGGGAGGATAGAGGGATGTCGCGACAGCAAGAGAGGGAGGTTAGGCAAGGACCAAAGCAGGAGCAAGGCCAGGAGGAGAAGCAGCAGGAGCATAACGGTCAGCAGGAGGAGAAGCAGGCGCAGCAGGAGCTTGGGGAGCAGTATTCGGATTTGGTGCATCTGCAAGTGGTGTTTCAGCAGCGCGGGACAATCGCAGCTAAAAGAAGCTTGTTTCTTTGCTGCTCTCCTGCCCTCCCTGTAGCTGAACTTGTTGAGAGGGCCATCAATGAGCCACACTAGTACTTTTCCCTGTTTTCCTTATCTGCTCCTTCCCAACTAAAGTTTGTGGTGCGAGATGAAGTTAACAATCTGGTTTTGCACATTTCTTTTAAGCATTGGCTGGAGCCTCAGGGAGGGAGCAGTAGTAGGAACTAGAAAAGTGATATCCGGTGTGTAATAAAATATTGGATAGTTCGAATAAAGATTTCCACCTGTGCGGATTATCAGAAAGGATGAAATCGGAGAGATTCTGCAAGAGCGCGGCGCGGCATTCCCCACCCTACATTTACCAATATTGGCATTTTGGTGTTTTGGTCTTATCGCACGGCTCACCACCATTCTACATTCCAATCGCACGGCTCAGAGGATGTGCCTTTCGGATCAACCAACCGCGGAATCTTCGATGGGAGAAATGGGTTTTTATATTGGGGGTGTCACTCAGCACTTCACTTCGGTTTTGCATGGGTCATTACGGTCAACAGCGGTGAAGAACCTCAACCGTTTTAAACCGTGTGATAACCCACAGGCTGGATGATCTGGTGGACGAAGACCCAAAACAACCTAGAGATCCTATATTTCGGTTCAGAAGTCGCTTGTTCCTTCATTCACTGAAAGATGCTTCTGGTTTCCAAGTCTCTCTGAGTTGCTGCTTCTCTGCCTGATTCTCCGCTGCGAGAGTGTGAACGCTGGAGTAAGGCTCCCTCGAAATTGACGACGCCCCAGCTCCCTGGAAGAATTTCAGGAGAACGGGATTTGAACTGTCTTTTGTTACAGAGTGACGAACTCATTCTGTGTCAGATTCCGAATCTGAGGCTGCTGTATCTCACGTCGGCATCATGGCAGTCAAGTCCGCCACTTCCACCTCGCCATTGCTAGTACCCTCGTCGCTGAACGAAGACTCTTTGGAATCCATGAGCAGCCAGCTAGCAGCGTGGTTTCTGGACCCCATTTGGACGGACGAAGCTCCTGACATGACGGTCACAGTCGGCCCAAACGCGCTCTGCCAGCTAGACGGCACTGCAACCGTCGCGTTTCCTCCCGATGCCGTATTCAGCCTCGTGTGCGACCCCTACAATCGCCGCGTGTTCAGGAACATCAAATCGGTGCGGAACCACCACGTCGTGCGTGACTGTAACGGGGTGAAGGAGGTCGAGATGGACATGGCGTTTTCGTTTCAGCTGCCGTTCTTTACTGGCACGTTCGACGCGCACATGCGCATGGTTCAGGACAGGCCTAACCGCACCATGACCTTCGCCCTGACTCGACCAGGCTTCATGCGGAAATTTGAAGGATTCTGGAGAGTCGAGCCTCTGCCTGTCCCTGCATCGTCTGCTACATCGTTACCAGACAATTCCAGCTTCCGCCGATGCGAATCTACAGAATCAAGCGATGGCATCACGAGCTTCGACGAAAGCAGCACCAGCAGCGACGAATCCGACGAAGCGCCAGACGTGAAGACGGATACAGGCGGATCGAATCCGACTGCACCTGACGGATTTCGTCTGGCTTCCCGTCTGGTGCTCTGCCAAATTGTCCAGCCGTCAGTTGCACCGCCATCCATTTTCAAGCGGTGTCTTCACAGTCTCCTGCAGCTGGCCACGAGGGACGTGCTGCTGGTCTTCCAGCAGGAAGCTGCTCGTTTGAGAGCAGTGCGAGGGGAGGAGGTGAGGGAGGACGCGAAGAAGACGGGGGTTACGTCACTGACGTCTAGAATGTGGAGTATATTGAGTGTAAAAGCTTGATGGTCCAGCTTTGCTGTTGTTGCTGCTGATACTGCTGGTATTTCACTGTGAAGCCCATTGTATGCTGTCTAACCCTGGGCCAATCTACACAGACTGTTACCTAGACACTGTAATTCAGTAAAAGAGATGCTTATTCTAGTGTTTCAGGTATCCTGATCCAGCACAGCCTGCTGCAGCTCGTCTTGACTCTTGACTATTGAGACGTTTGTTGAGTATGATGCAGGTGTTGCTGTTGCTGCTGATGCTCGTGCTGGTGTTAGTGCTGGTACATACCGTATACTTTACGTCCACACATCTGTTCCTGTGCTAATGCGTACATCAAATGTTCCGAGTCTAAACTTCCAAGTGTGCGGCAGTACTGTGTCAGTTATTCAACCATTGCACTAAGTCTCACAACAGAACCATTTTCCATTCCCACCCTCTGCCCAGTGCAACCTAGCAGTTCAAATTTCCAGGCCCAACAGTAAATTAAAACTCAGTAACCAAGGCACCAGCATCTCTACCGGCCAGCCACCACAGGACAGTCTGCCGCCCTGTGCCCAGGTTGCTTGCACAAGAAGCAAACCCCTGAAAACCCTCCTCCCGCACCCCCGCGACCATACGACCCGCCGGGTGCGCTGCGCGTGCGCTCCAAGGGGGATGGGGTGTAGTATCCATCACTGTCCTCACTCTCCCACGCATCAGAGGTGAAATTGCGGCGGTTGACCAACCCTCCGCCAGCCGGGCGGCGATCCCGGGAGGAGAATCGGTCGCGATCTCCACCGAACCTGCTGCCGCCGCTGCTGCTGCCGCTACTGCGCCTGTCACCCACGTCACCCCAGCTGCCAGACCTGATATGGAGGAGAGAGAGAGAGAGAAGAAAGAGTAGAGTGAAAAGGACGCGGATATGAGACACGTGAGGTATCATTTTGGTTTGGTGGCAAATGCACATGGAGAGGAGTATGAAGAGGTGCAAGCAGGAGAAATGGAACAGGCAAACACAATATTGTGGCACCCCCTGCCACGGTCGCCCCGCCTCCCTTTCTCCCTGGCCCCACCACACGAGAAGCTGTCCCTTTCAACCCCTTCCCTTATAGCATACTTCAACATACCATAAAATCACACCACTCACCTCTCTCTCCTGCCGCCGTCATCGCGCCTGAAACCCCTGTCACGGTCGCCTCCTCTTCCTCCCCTGTCCCTGTCCCCTCCGCGAGAGTACCTGTCGCCTCCGCCCCTCCCCCTGTCCCCTCCCCTGGCTCCGAACCGCCCGTAGTTGTCCCTGTCCCTGCCTCCTCGCACGTCATCATCCACCAGCGTGGGCAGCTGAGAGGCACATGGGAGGGATGGGCAAGGCAAACAGACAGCACCGCGCAGGGGAGAAGGGAACAGAAGCATGAGTACAGGTGTCCCCTTCTACCCAGACCACCTGTAGTTGTCCCTGTCCCTGCCGCCGTGAACATCATCATCCACCAGCGTGGGCAGAGGAGGAGCAGAGGGCACATGGGAGATGGGGATATAAAAGCATGAGTACAGGTGTCCCCTTCTATCCAAACCGCCCGTAGTTGTCCCTGTCCCTGCCTCCGCCCCGCACATCATCACCCACCAGCGTGGGCAGCTGAGAGGCACATGGGATGGGCACGAAAATATGAAGGCAGAGGGAAGGGGGGGAATCAACCTCGGCATTTTCTAGTGATACATCCCTGTCACTGCCACCACGAACGTCAACATGTACCAGCATGGGCAGCTGACGGGGGGACGCACACACCTTGTTTTCTAATATAAGATAACAGACATATTTATTATCAACATAAGCTATCAACACAAATGCTCTTAAGACAAAGCAGAACCACGCACCCACCTGGCGCGGGATGTCAAAGACGTCGCCGTTGTCAATCTTAAGGCTCAGCAACTCCTTTGCCACGTCCTCTGGCAGGTCAAACACGGCTCCCTCCACCTGAAAGGAGGGAGGGCGTGACAGAGAGGGAGAAAGAGGGGATTAGAGAGAGGGAACGAGGGGGAGAGAGAGCAAGCTTGCGACAAAAATCTTGAAACTGAGCAGATCTTTGACCACATTGTCTGGCAAGTCAAACACCACTCCCCATCCCCCATCCTTCTAAATCCACGCACTCACATCTCGCTCGCCCAGGATCTTGATCTTCCCGACATTGTCCGCCGCCCGGCAACACATGACTCCCTCCCCACCCACTCATGACCCATCCATCCCCATCCCCCAGTCCCCCTAAACCCCCACAGCCCCACTCACATCTCGCTCGCCCAGGATCTTGATCTTCCCCACGTTGTCAGCAGCGCGGCGGAAGATCTCCCCGAGAGTCCCCATGACTGCGCGCGGGGAGATGAGCGGGCCGTTGCGGCTCTTGGCCGTGCGGATCACACGCACCGTCACATACCCCTCCTCGTGCGTCAGCAGCGACCGGGCGGCGGGCGGCTGGCTGAAACCGCTCAGGTGGGCGATCGCGGCAGCTAGCGCTATCGGGCCGCGCTCCTCGAGAAGCTTCTCGGCAGTTTCCAGGAAGGACTCCGCGAGTTCAGGGTGGACCCGGTTGATGAGGGCAGCTGATTGGTTGGCGGAGGCTTGAAGGACATCGTCGGGGTGGGGCGGGGAGGCCTTCTCAAACTTGCAGCCGATGTCCCGCTCTATCATGCGCAGGGAACGGAGCTGGTTGGGGGAAGGAAGGGGGAAGAGGAGGGAGGGAGGGGCATGGGAAGAGGAGGGAGGGAGGGGCATGGGGGGATGAGGGCGGCGGACTGGTTGGCGGAGGCTTGGAGCACGTCGTCCGGGTGGGGCGGGGAGGCCTTCTCAAACTTACAGCCTCCAAACTTGCATGTCCACAGGTGTGGTGCATAAACATCTAGTATAGTCACATCCGTTGGTGTAATTTCACGCACCTGCGAGTCCGTGTACATGAGGATGGTGCAGCCAGTCTTGCCAGATGATGCATCAAGGTCATACATGACATGCTAGAGCCGCATCCTTCACATACATACCATCAGTCCCGACACAAGACACAGTCACCTTTTGCAGAAACACGCCTGCGAGTCCGTGTACATGAGGATGGGCATCCGGTCTTGCCCACTCGCCCCGTTCGGTGCACAAAGGCTTATGAGTCGACTAAAGTCCTTACATACACAGTCACACAATCAACCTCACCTGCGAGTCCGTATACACGAGGATGGTGCAACTTTACAAGCACACGCCATAGTCACATCCGTTAGCATCACACACCTGCGAGTCCGTATACATGAGGATGGTGCATCTTTACAAGCACACGCCATAGTCACGTCCGTTAGCATCACACACCTGCGAGTCCGTATACATGAGGATGGTGCAACTTTACAAGCACACGCCATAGTCACATCCGTTAGCATCACACACCTGCGAGTCCGTATACATGAGGATGGTGCATCTTTACAAGCACACGCCATAGTCACATCCGTTAGCATCACACACCTGCGAGTCCGTATACATGAGGATGGTGCATCTTTACAAGCACACGCCATAGTCACATCCGTTAGCATCACACACCTGCGAGTCCGTATACATGAGGATGGTGCATCTTTACAAGCACACGCCATAGTCACATCCGTTAGCATCACACACCTGCGAGTCCGTATACATGAGGATGGTGCATCTTTACAAGCACACGCCATAGTCACATCCGTTAGCATCACACACCTGCGAGTCCGTATACATGAGGATGGTGCATCTTTACAAGCACACGCCATAGTCACATCCGTTAGCATCACACACCTGCGAGTCCGTATACATGACGATGGTGCATCTTTACAAGCACACGCCATAGTCACATCCGTTAGCATCACACACCTGCGAGTCAGTGTACATGAGGATGGTGCATCCGGTCTTGCCAGCTCGCCCCGTTCGCCCCGACCGATGCACAAACGTCTCAGGGTCATTGGGGATCTCGTAGTGAATCACCTGGCCGGGAAGAAAGCAAAGGGGGAAAGAACGGGAGTTGGAGCGTGGGTGGGGGGAGTGAGTTAAGTCTAAGTTGACTGAAGCACAGAGGCCTCAAGGTCGTTGGAAATCTCATAGGTAGGGAGGGGGGAGGAGGGAGGGGGGAGGAGGGAGTGGGAGAACACGAATGACAACAATTCCAAGCCGTGGACACTTATGTGCTGTATTTTCTTCATGGAGCTTTGTCCTTATAGATAAAGTTCTGTCCAGAGTATCACCTCCTTCTTTAAGCTCACTAACCATGGCTTCTTCCTCTAGGAACCTCTACGGTTCATAAACAAGCAAACGTTGTCCTTTTTCAGGTTAGAAAACCGCCCACACTCACGAGGTCGACGTTAGGGATATCGAGCCCTCTGGCCGCCACATCAGTGGCCATGAGCACCACGAGCATGAGGCCGTCTCTGAACGCCTGCAGCGTGCGCTCCCTCTGCTGCTGGGGGATGTCCCCGTGCAGCGCCTCACAGCCCACCGAGCGACCCAGTGCATTCCCCCTGTTCCCCCCTTTCTCCCGTGCCCCCGTGCCCCCATACCCCCCTTCAACTCACCAGGTCAACGTTAGGGATATCGAACCCTCTGGCCGCCACATCAGTGGCCACCAGCACCACGAATCGCCCGTCTCTGAACGCCTGCAGCGTGCGCTCGCGCTGCTGCTGGGGGATGTCCCCGTGAAGAGCCTCACAGCCCACAGAGCGACCCACGGCATCATCCCTTTCCCCCCATTCCCCTCCCTTCAACTCACCAGATCAACGTTGGGGATATCGAGCCCTCTGGCAGCAACGTCCGTGGCGACCAGCACCACGAATCGCCCGTCCCTGAACGCCTGCAGCGTGCGCTCGCGCTGCTGCTGGGGGATGTCCCCGTGCAGCGCCTCACAGCCCACCGAGCGACCCAGCGCCATGGCGACCTCGTCCGCGTCCTTCTTGGTTTGAGTGAAGACGATCGTCTTGCCTCCCATGGCGTGGACCTGGCGGTGTGTGGGGGAGGGGGGAGAAGGGGAGGATATGGGGGTGTCACCAGCAGCGCC